GAGTCAGACCCGACCCATAGCGACCCCTCCTTGGGTTTCCAGGGCAGTATCACTACAGAAGTAGATTGCCCCATCTTCCTTCTGGGGAGTGTCTGGGAAGTAAAAAAGTTACAATTTAGGATTAGAAATGACTCAAGATACAGTTCTCTGATCAGGACAGCATCTCCTCAGCTGTGCCCACAGGCAGGCCTCTCTGTGGCCCTCAGCCTCTTGGCCCCGCACCCTGGCCTCTCCTCTGCTCAGGCAAGTGTCACAAAGCTCGTTAGCACCCCAATAAGCACCTGGAGGCACCCCACTCCACCAGGAAGCTTCATGCACAAAGGCTGTCAGCTTTCTCTCTCTGGGCCAGGAAGCCCATTGTGCCATCTCACCCTGGTCTCCTCATTCTCCTGCCACCATTTCTCTGCCTCTGTTTCTCACAGTCTCTTGCCCTTTCTGGTGTTATAGCTCTCTCTCTGCTTCCTGGGTCCAGGAGTTTCTCAGCACAGGGATCATGAGTCCCGACAACACACTGCATTCCTAGCTCTTCTTTCTTGGTGGTAGTGAGGGCCTCCAGTGCTCTGGGATTGGCTCTCTTTTAAGCCTGTTGGAATGGTAAAATTGATCAGTCCCCTCATTTATGTTCTTTATACTTTATTTGCATGCCTCCCCCTCACATTTCCATGCATCTTATTTGCATTATTAGCAAGCTATCCAATATCCTTACTGGGCCACAAGCACCTTATTTGTATAGTCCCACCCAATCACTGTGTGGGAGTTACAAAGACTATGGCTAGAAGGGCCATATTAAGTAATTCCCTGCACTGCAGGCCCTGGACAACAGTGAATGTTGGAGTTGTATACTTGAAAGTTATTGACAGATAAGTGGTAGTTGAAGTCCTAGACTTTGGTACAATTGCCTGATATTGTACAGAGCATGAAGGGAAAGGAGGCAGAGCCCTGGGGACCACTGACAATTAAGGACCAGGTGGGAGAAGAAAAGCCGTGGAAGTGGACTGAGAGAGATGTAGGAGAAGCAGCAGGCAAAGGCAGTGTCTCAGAAACTGGTAAGGAAATGGTTAGGAAATAAGCATCCACTTAAACATATAATCGGGATTTAATAGATGGTTGCCTGGAAATGAAAGAGGAATAAAGGCATTTTGTTGGCATAGCATATTCATTTTAAAATAAATCTGAAGCATACATTTTTTTTTTCCAGAAGTACATACCCTTTAATATATGAGTATAGATTATGCTCACAAAATAACAATGAGCTCACAATGTAAACAATATTGTTGTTCAGTGAAATTTCTCCTCTCTCCAGGGATAAATGAATTCTCTCAAATTTCTGCTCATCAGTCAAAAATTTTACATTCAATTGAGTGTTCATTCTGAATTTTAAATGATTCTGTGGTCATGACTGCTTAGAAAGTTGTGCTTTGGTAAATTGAAAATTATTTTTCTAAAATGATAGACTAATTTGAAATCTATATCCTTTTTCTTGATTTGATTTTTGTTACCTACATTCCTGTGATTTCACCGGATGAGTGTCCTATGAGTGTCCTGCTTCACTGGGGGTCCTGGAGGCTTCTACAGCCGCTCATTGTAGGGGGGATGCTGGTACTCAGTAGGGCTCACAGATGTTTATGGAATGAATGGATGTACTATTTTCCTTCCTTAATGTTAATCCACATCTCAAAATGTGTCTGTATTCAAAGAAGACAATTTATAACTCATAGCTAAATAAATTACAGCTCACTCTTACTCCCGTGGGCATGGTATTGTGCACAGAATGCTACTGCCTGAAATCCCATCATAGCCACTGGCTCTGTAAAAACTTCTTGGAGGAAATCTTTCCTCAAAAATAAACAATAGAATATGGGCTTCCAGTTCCCAAACACTTATATTTTTCAGATTATTCAACATTTAGATTGACTTTTTTTTCTCAGCAAACATTTGAGTACCTAAAAAACCAAACTCACTAACGTCAAGTTGGTTCTGACTCATAGCGACCCTTCCTCCTTGGGTTTCCAAAGTGGTGTCTCTACAAAAGTAGATTGCCAAGTCTTCCTTCCGAGGAGTGGCTGGTGGGTTTGAACCAGTAGCCTTCTGGTTAGCAGTCAAATAATGCCTTAGGCACTGAGCTACCAGAGCTTCTATTGATCTAGCAATACAGTAATATAATATTGAGTGCCTACTATATTATGTATGATTGACTATCTAATATCCCTTTGTTATGGGTGTATGTACCAGCTAGAGCAGACAGGCAATATAGCAAATAAGGATATAATATGTGTCAGTGGTGATGAGTGCCTAAAACAAAAATAAATCAGGAAAAGAAGGTACAGAGTGATGGTATAGTGGTCCTATTTTAGATCCGGTGGTTTGGGAAGGATAGGTAAGCAGAGACCTGAAGGAGGAAAGAGATATATGGACCGAGAGTGCTGCCTTGTGCATAGCAACAGTTCCCTTACAGTCAGCCCAACTAGTGGGGTGGGAAGCAGATATGTGCTTTGTAAAACATCAGCTCAACCAAGAAAGTTGTAGCCCTTTTGTGATCCATAGCTTAGAGAATAGTCACTTATAATCTACTCCTCGATTTTAACTGTAAGGTCATTTTTTTCAGATGACTTTAAAATAAAACAACATATTATTGAAAGATTCAGAAAGGCAACTAGCTCTTAGAAATGACTAAAATGCCCTACAAGTATTCCTCCTTCTTCTTTTTTGTTTAATGGAGACTTTTACTCCCCTGCTAAGACCGTGTGTTATATCTGGTCTCACATCAGAATGAGTTTTTGCTGCTAAGTTTGAAAAATGCCTGAAAATGACAATTAATATTGGAAAAGCTGCCAGAACGTTAAGTGTGGTGGCATGATTGGTGCTGTTATAATTATGTGCCTGAGTGTGTACATGTCTGTAAACATAGTATGAAAACACACTTGATGTCCAGGACAGTGTATCGGTGTATTTTCTTACAGTTAAGTCTAGGAAAGAGGAGAGAAGGAGGAGAAACTTGATAGCATTTTTATAGCATTATTAGGTAGTATGGATTTTTCTAATCTTACATCTATCTAATCTTGTTTTTCAAATTATTTTCACATCTATCACTTCATTTGGTCCCCAAAACTTGCTGGTTAAAAACAACAACAACAAAACAACAGAGCAGGCTTTGTTCTTCTCATTTGATGGATGAGAAAACTCAGTGAGTCAGCTAAGATAAATTAAGGTTCTTACTTACAAAGTGGGGAGATTGGACGACATCGTCTCCAAGGTCCTTTCTAGCTCAATAATTCTATGAGTTTTTCCTGAGGTGACACAGCTGCTTAATGGTAGAGACACCCTTCGAGTCCAGAACACTTTCTACCACACAATTCCTTCTTAAACTCTTTAAACCCTATCTGCATGTTTAATCATCTACAAAATGCAATGCCTGACTTACAATGTTGTTGAGAAGATTGTTGAGGGAATTAAAGAGAAGTTTGTGAAGCACCTAGCATACTGGTAGCTATTATTATTGTTGTTGTTGTCACTATTATTAATAAGGAGGCCATATAGTATAATGAAGGGAGCTCTGGTAGCACAATGGTTAAGGAATTCAGCAGCTAACCAAAGATCAGTGATTCAAACACCAGCCGCTCCATGGGAGAAAGATGAGGCAATCCGCTCTGCTTCCATAAAGGTTTAGCCTTGGAAACCCTGTGGGGCAGTTCTACCGTGTCCTATAGGGTCAGTATGAGTTGCAATCAACTTGATGGCAGTGGGTTTGGTTTTGGTGTCGTGTGGTAGAAGGAACATTGGTATTATAGGAAGGTAGATAAGCTGCTAACCATTAAGCAGTAGTGTCACCTTGGGTCAATTATTCAACCTCTCTGTTTCTTCCCCATGTAATAAAGTTGATACCTATATCATAGGGTGGTTTCAAGATTACAGAAGATAATGTATACATACAGAGCACCTAACCCAATGCTGACACATCCCACAGGTTCAGTAAATAGTTTTAGGTGTGCATAATAAACCACCTTGCATAGAAAACTGAGACATTATTTTCACAATTGCCTCAGAATCTGAAGTGTCATTTCATAGAGGTGAAGTGTAACCTTGAACTAAATAGAAGAAGATAGGCATCTTTACCAAAAGAAAGAAAGACAAGAAGTCTCTGAGTTTGGCCACTCTATGCACACCTGGGAGGGGAAGAGACAATCCACATGTACCCAGTAATTAGATTATGGAATTTCATGTCAGATGGTCTTCTGAAGTCAGGTACGGCATATGTTTTATTCAGTTCCTCTTTTTCTCCCCACCACAATAATCTCATAAGAGTGTGTGGTTTATTTAGAGAAACCTGTTGACTCTTATTACACCACTTTCTTTGAAAGCAGTCATTTGGGTGCTGTGAAGAGCCGCTTAGCTATATTGATGACCATCATGAGAGACTCGGAGAAGTTGGAAACTGAACTCCTATACCCTTGCCTCTGACAGCACGGTCCCTGAAAAGGCTGGTGGCAGGACTGAAATGTGGAAACTCTCTAACAGGGACAGTGGCTACTTGTCTCATTGAGGATGTCTTGGTATTAAATTTTCAGGGTACAATAAACTAACATACTTTGACACTGTGGATCTGTTGGCAGCTGCTAAGGTGGGTGATGCTGCCCTGCACCAGTGACTGCACCCCTGGTCACTGCTTTAATCCAATGGACTCCAGAGAAGTGTGTACAGAACACCAACTTTCAGTCACATTTTTTAAAATATTATTTCATTATTTGAAAAGGATTAAACACAGCCTCTGGCCATTTGAATGTGAAATATAATATGTGTGTGTGTGTGTGTGTGTGTGTATGTGTGTGATTTTTATTTGCTGTGTATCTGCCCCTGAAGTGAATGCATATCCTATGGGGATGTCTCAAGGACTATTGCATTTTTCTACCTGAAAGCACAACATTAAATGCTTTGACCAATGTCTGTTATGTTTGGTTGACTTCCAGTTTTCAAAAGTGTGAATTTCCTTTTTAATGTTCTAGGGAAAAGCAATGGTATTTGCCCCACGCCGAGGGAACACTGTAAACCAGTTCTGCAATCTAGCTGAGAAAGCCGGTTTCTCCATCCAAAGACATGAAAATTATGATGAACACATTTCAAACTTCCACTCCAAGGTTAGTTTTCTGCTTGCGTTAGATAACACTTTAATCCACATTGCATTTTGAAGAGATCATGGTCCTTTTTGGCAGGTAACCTAAATATTTGATGAAAGTACTCCTTAGGTGTGCTGCTTCTGAACAGCTATTTGTATCTGATAATTTTGTGTGGGAAAGCCATCTTTTATCTTTGCATGTCTGGGAGGATTTTACAGAAACCATTCCTGTTTACTCCTTTCTCAGAAACAAACTAATCTTTTCATTCCTAAGAGACTAATTTATATGATGCAGGGGAGGTGGTATAGAACGATAAACAAGCATTTATGTTTTAATGAAAAACCTTCATTTTAAGTAGGTTAAACGCTTAGCTGTACTGAAATAAACAGAAGGTGAATGTCTAATTGTATCATGTTGGACTGTAAATCTTTATCTCTGCTTGCTTTATGGCTGGGTCAGTTGGCAGTTTGAGACTGTTAAATCTCATACAGAATTTCACAGTTGTGGGGTTGTATGTCAGATCGAGGCGGTGCAAGATTTAGGTCAAAAGCACTTATCTGAGAGTGATTTCTAAGCTTGCTTACATAAAGCAATGTTATCAGCCTTTTTTTATTATTTATAGGTGGAGAGCAATATAGGACACTGAGAGGCAAGTGTTCCACTGAAAACTTTTTAGGAATCTGAACGTTTGTCACTACATGTCACAGTGACTAGTATAACATGTATTACTTTTGCAATTTTATGCCATCCAGAAATCTCCCTTCTCCAAGCTAATCTGACCTTGGCAGGAGACTTTGACTTGTCATGATTTTGTAAGTTGTGACTACAGAAATGTAAAGGTCTGACCTGAATTTTCTCCTGGGAAAATATTAATAACATTCTCTACTGCCCAAGATTCCAGTGTAATGGAGAACTGTGTTGACTTTTGAAAAGTTATATGCAAAACAGATCTGATCTTCTAGGCAAGAGAGCAAATTCTTTCTGGAAATGTGTTTACTTCTTTGAGTCTCCAGGGTTCTGTTTAGCCTGGGGGAAAATTGGTGCTTTCTGAAATGAAAGAGTTAAATCACTTTGTCTCACTAGTAGAATTTGGCACATTGCTTACAATCAGAAAAATAGAAACAGAATGGCATGTTATTTAAATCCTAAAATCTTACCTGCTTCTCTTTTTAAACACCTCCCTAGAACACAAGGATCGGCTCTGAGGGCTTTACTGGGGACAGGGTGTTGTCTCCTGGCCTCCTCCACCTAAAAGGATAGCATGGCCTTCTCTCCAGGGTTAGGCTAGAGCTACAGGGATCAGTTGATGGCTGCTTCAATGTCATGTCATTCACTTTTCCCCTAGAATAAATGCTTTTAGCTTCGCAGTGACAGCTCAGGAGAGCAGTGGCCTGGGTTTTTCCACCAGCAGATGTTCAGCATTGCACCTGATAGCTTTAGTCTTCTGCCTGCAAGATCTGAAGTCCTTGGGCCTCATGAAGCCTCTGAGCCCTGGTTGCCCTTCTTTCCTTTGTCTAGAACTTTCAAGGGTCAGCCCCTAGTGGACACCAACTTGGTCTGTTTATTTCTAACTTGGTGCTGTATCCTGCTAAGCATAGAGCAGGTCCATAAATTGCTAAACATGCCTCATTTATTTATGTTGTGCACCATACCCACAGATAGTACTCCAAAAATAATCATTGACAGATTGATTAGTCTCACAAAAATAAATTTCCTTAAATAATTAAGTGGCCTTAGTTTTTAATATCTTTATAATTGCTTACAAGTCAAATTCCATACCTTGCTGATGTTGGACTAAGAAATAGTTTTCTTTGAGTTGTTTCTTGGGTGTATGTGGGGTTGCAGAGTAGGGCTTGAATGCTGTTTTCAAGCAGTAGAAGGCTAATTCCCTGGAGTTGGGACACCCTGGGTAAAACATAGGGCTCATAAGCTTACACTACAACATATATTTTTTAATGAGCTCTGGTAGCACAGTGTCTAAGGCATCTGACTGCTAACCAAAAGGTTGGTGGTTCAAACGCACCAGCCACTCCAAGAAGGAAGACTGGGCAATCTACTTCTGTAAGGATTTACTGCCTCAGAAACCCAATAGGGGTCACTCTGAGTCCCAATTGACTAAATGGCAATGGGTTTATTGTGTTTGTTTGTTTAGAGCTATTTGAGCAGGTTTGTTGTTCTGCCCCTAGCAAAAGTATGCTCCTGGCTCCTTCTACAACAGAAGTGTATAATTCCCTGCTTTCCTGCCCCAGTCTCTGGGATAACTGTGCTGGCTGTCCAGAGCCGCAGTGACCCAACCCCAGCTCGCACTTGGAGAGCTCCTTTGCATGAAGCATGTGCAGAAAGGTGTCACCCAGCTGTAGGCAAAGCTGTAGAGAGCAAGAAGGGTCCAGCTCCTCGCCAAGCCCCAGAACTCTCTACCAGCGCCCAAGTAAGGGCCGCAACCAGCACCCCACTGCCCTGGGCCCTGATGCAGCCCCTGCCCAGTCGCCAGCCCGGGACTCCAGGGACGTGAAGGCCCCACGGCGCCTACAGGAACCTCCGCCCCGGCGGCTTTTGTTTGCTGCGTGCTAATAGCCAAGGCTTAAAAGTTTTCCATCTTGAGCAGCAATCAGCTTTCTTCCTCTCCATCTCTGGGCAAACCCCCATCTTCCCTGGGCCGAGCCTGCTCCCAAATGGAGGAGCAGCGTTTTCCTTCAGGCTGCGTGTTATCCTCTTAGCCCTACTGTGTTGGAATAGAGCGTAACCAGCTGGAGGACTGTAAAACGCCTGATAATGCCGCTCTTTTCCGCTGTCCCGTCTTAATCTTGTTACACAAATGGTTGTGAAGAGATTCATGAATTTTAATTTTGCCCTCTGCATTAGTGCCTCACGTCACTCATACACAGCTGCCTTCTATGCCGAGTTTTTCACCCCTCCTTTTACAACAGGGGAAAAAATTAGTTACAATCTTGGCAGTAGTGCAAGGTAAAAAAAAAAAAAAAATCTACAGATTTAGGCAACCACCCATGAAGCTGATTAACAGTCAGTGATCAGGAGGAACAGCTTTGCCTCTTAAACTTTTCACCTCTCATTGTTAACTGTGAAATTTTATTTCCGTTAAAAAGCAAGCCTGTAATCAAAACGGTGCCATTCTGCACTTTTCTGCCAGTGCTTTTGTTAAACTGTGCCCACACCATGCAACCGGCAAGCTCAGGAACCAGGCAGCCAAAGGTGTAGTATTTTTTTTTTTTTTTTTTTTTTTTATAATATTGGCTTTCTGTTAATCTAGGCAACGGGAAGAAAAATAAAACACTTTCCTCTCCTCTCCAACCTCTGGGCCCCCTCCAGGCTACAGAATCAAATGTAATGCTTGATGGTGTGGCTCCGAACCTTTAGGATATTAAGATAGCAAATTGTTTAGTAAGGTAGAGTGACAGGGAGATTACAGTTGGCTTGAAATTAGTTGATAAAAGTACTCTCATGCAAATATTCTTTAACACATAATTTTACATGCCATGTTTCTGTTCTTTTTTCTTTTTTTAACTTTTGCAAAGACACTTGAGTGTTTATTTTCTGTATTTTTGTACTAGTAATGAAAATAGGCTTGGGCTTGGCTGTGAAGTCAGTACATTGTGTTAAAAGCACGGCCATATTGCACTTCTGCTTATCTATTCAAAATGCCACATTACAAGTGGCTGGTGCTTATAATCTGTGTGGTGTGCTGTTGATAATTGTGGATACTGTAAAGGGTAAACAGTCTGAACTCCACTCCCGTTGCTGCTGTTCGCATCATAAGGCTGAGCATGTTACATCCAATTATGAAGTAAAGCATAATGCTACTAATAGCAGCTATATAATTTAGTTCAGTCCTCAAAGACCCTGTTTTAGCCTATGAAATTGAAAAACTGCTTTATTCACAATTTGCTTTTTGTTCATTTTTCCCAAGGTGCTTTATTATTTCTTTAAATTATAATTATTAATTGGGCAAAGAAATACAGTCTTGGTAAATGGAATTATTCTTCATGCACATAACATTCCTTCATCGAAGCAAGTATTTCCTAACAGCTTTGTGTGTGTTCAAGTGCCCTCACATAACAGACTTGATTCGGAAATGATCTGGTGCTGGGCCGGAGTGTTGCCTCTGAGGGCTGTCAGCTCTTCCTAGTTACCATTATAGGAAGGGCTCACAGTCAAGACAGGCTGGCCCCTGGCCCCTTCCAGCAACAAAGTCTCTGGTTTGGCCTCCAGAGGTCAGCATAGAATCCAAGTTAAAAGTGATTTCAAACTCATATTTACAGAAGAATTATTTATCCTACATATTACCTCAGGGACTTTATAAAGAGCTCATTTGAGTCTCTGTATATTAGTGCATTGTGAGTGAGTAGGTCAGCTGACTCACGCCGAGTAATCAACTTTCCCTGATCCTCAATCCCTGAGGGAAGAATTTAGCTAGCTTGCCCCCCCCTCTATAAAATATTTCTGTGAGCTCCCTCTATCACTAGGGCAACTAGCAACAAAGGTATTTACAGTTGATAGGTTCTACTTAGTGGGTTTGGATTGGGAGGTTGTAAATCCATTTTCTCCACTCCCCTCCCTCCCCTCCCGCCCAGATAAAAGAGTGATATTGAGGGACCTGTGTTTAGGATTAACATGGTCACTACTTTGGTGGCAACAAAAATCCATGAGGAGCTTTCTAAATAGACAACTAATCATCTGTAAACACAGCAAACTCCACCTAAAAAAAGAGAATGAAGTTACTTCAGTGATTATACCACAACCAGCTCTTAGGAAAGTGAATTAGAAAGTAAAGACTAGGTTGGCTTTATGTTTTCCATTGGAAAGGCAAAATGGGGTCATTGTTCCTGTCCTTAATAGGACATGTCATAGTTTGGGAATATAATTTCAAAGAAATATGCACTGTGAAAATGTTCACATTATCATGTCTCAGACTGACTAATCTAGGAAGCCTGTGATGTGGGAGTCACTCATTTAGCTTGGGGTGGGAGGACACTTGTTCCATTTGAAACAATAAAGGAATTGATTCCATGTATAATTGAATTAAATAGTTATCTCCAATCCTTAAAAATCAAAAAATGAATTAACAAATGGCTCAAAAACGTTTACTTTAAAAATAAAAATTTTATCTTTATAATTGAAAAATCAGCATTCACTAAATAAACATTAACTGTCAAAATTACTCTAGCCAATGAGGAAAAGTGTATTTTAGATTTGAGGGCTCTAGCTGAATTTTAAAACATATCGTGCAAAGGCTCTCAGAACATCACCTGAGCAATATCAAATATTGCTGCCCTATTTGTTGAACTATGTTCTCCTCAGAGAAAACAAAGTTGGAATTAATTATCGTTAATATTAAAATTCCCAAGAAGCAGCTGAAAAGGCTTTGGAATATCTTTGGCCCCATGAGCCATTTCCTCATCCCCAGGTGTTGCCACAGTCTCTGCACAGTTGCTGATCTGTACTGCTCGCCTGCCTGGATACTGGGGTGCCAGCAGGGCAGAGGGGACCAAAAGCAGAAACTTTTATGCCAAATGGTAGATGAATGAGTTCCTGCTTCTCCCTTCAGTGAAGTGCCTCACAATTCAGAAAGGTCACAAATGCAGTTTAGGTATTTATGAAAAACAAACAAAAAGTTCCTATCTTGAGACACAGTATTATCATGTCAGTACCACCAAAAACTGTTTTGAGTTGCTTTTTTTGTGATTTTCCCCCAAAACAATGTATTTCAGTAAAAAGTCATCACTATACTCCAAATAATTGACAGATAAAATTAATAACCTAAATCCTGACCTAATTTTTCTGTAATTGTTTTCAGTTGAAAAAGGAAAACCAAGACATGTATGAAGAAAACCTTCATTATCCACTTCTGCTTATTTTAACCAAAAATGGATAGCAGATTAAATACCTCAAGAGAAGATGAAAACAACAAACACACAAAAGAAGATTTTTCACAAACATGGAAATTTGTATCAAGTAGAAAATGTATCAAGCTGCTGGCCCTTGGATTTGAGAGCCCCCAGGACTCAGGCCCCCATCTGTCATCACAGTGTGGGTTCTTCTGCTTGTCTTCACCCACCTTATTTGCTAGCCATCCTCACCTGCCTTCCTCCAGCCTCCTTTTCCTCAGTCTGCTTGTTGCTTTCCTGCCCCAAACCTTTGTGTGCCTTTAAAAATGTGTAAGCAGCCTGTCTGAGATTTGAATTCGATTTGTGAGAAACCTAAATATTTCTCCCTCTAACTGAGACAGAATTTATTTTGGTGGACCCCTCCCTTTTTTATATAATTTACCTCTTTGTTCTATTTTTGGTGGTGGTAGTTTTTAATCTGTAAACACAACAAACATGTTTCTTTCCTGGTTAAAAAAAAATAAAGCACATCTCCTGATTTCCCCCAGATTAATTGTGTTAAATCTGCCATCTCCCCTTCTCTCCCTCGTTCTCTTTTTTCCCCCCATTTTAAACAGGGTTTTTTTAAAAATATTTTTTCTTTTCCCCCAGTATATGTATAAGAAATGACTACATCAGCCCAAAGCCTCATAAACTGACCGTTTGTCCTCTGGACACAATAGCGTGGCCAGCCCTCTGCTCCTCCTCTCCAATTATGTGTGATTAGTCTCAGTGTGTTGTGTCAAGGAGGGGGAGTGTGCTGAGTGCTTATTATCTGTTTAGGTACAAGAAGAGCACATTTAGGCTCCGTGAATGAAAAGTGAGCCTTTATCAGGCCCCAATCTAACTACTGCTGTTCTCCAGGCTTCTTTCAAAACAGGTCCTTCCCAGAGAAATTTTGAATAAAATGGTTGATAAACTAGATTGCAACCAGGGGGATTTAAAAAAAAACTCAATCACACAATTATCTTATTTAAAATAAGTAAACTGTATATTGTCATACACTGTGATTCAAGTGTATAGTAAACATTTAATAGGACCTACCTTGGATTACGATAGAATGACTTTTCTGCAGGGAACCCAAGCATATCCTTCCCCAGTGCATCCAGGAAATGCTCTAATGCCTTTTGTGGAAATTCAGATGTTTATCTGTAAGGAATCATCTGTGCCCACTTTAGCTGTAATGTCATTAGCAGGTTAGCTACATAGTCTCCTATCTTTCCTAGAGGCAAAGCATGTATTTAGCAGAATACAATTAAAGAGGTGGGAGATGGGAGACTCACCCTTTTGCATGTTAAATAAACTTAGCTGTCATAAAAACAGCAACTCTCAAATGTCTTCTCTGCTCACTTCTATCATCAAACAAATTTTTCACCATCAGTTTGCATATCCTCGTATTCACTACTTTTTCTGCTCCATTAGAGCACCTAGATGGATCTCGGAAGGCATAGGTCAAGTCGCAGTTAGATCATACATTTCTTTCTCACAAAAACTTGAATTGCAATGCCAAGTGATGGGCTAACATCACAATAACAGCAATTTATTCCTCTTTGGATAAAACAGCAGTCTATTCTCAGTGCTAGATAAAGACCAGGGCAATGCAAACCAGCCATTTAGCTGAGTAGTTCAGCTAGTGGCAGCTCTCCTTTGGCAACTGTATAGGTTGCTTCATACTTTCTTGTTTAAAAATTAGCATCTGGGATGTTTTAAAAGGCAGGACAGGTAGTTCCAATTATACCGGTGAAAATACAGCAAAAATTATCTTCTGTAAAATCTGCAACTAAACCTGCCAGACAATGGAGACCCATCTCTATGGTAGCACCTAAGATGGTCTGTTCTTTTTTCTTTTAAAATATACCAGGAGAATTTTTTTTTTTCCATTTCTCCTCATGAAAATACATGAATTTGCCAAGAATTCAATTTGCATTTGTGTGTTGTGAGTGTAGAAATCCCAGGGTTTATTTCTCTGGGGAGAAATCATGTTTTAAAAAAATAAACTAGTAGTGTAGTATTTTAGAAATAACAGATTGGGCTAGGTACACTTACCTAAGATTGAGAAAGGGTTTCAGAATTGAACTGTTCTTACCAAGTGATATCTACTAAAGAAATCCACTTATTGTGTAATTAAAACCCAGAGAATCGCCTGTCAAATGCTAACGGTTTCATACATCTGCTCTTTTTGGGATCATCACCTGGAAATATCTCTAGCCCAGGCTCTTCGGAAGTTTGTAAGATGCTCATGTCGTATATGGTTGAATTATTTTAAGTGTTATTTATTATCTCACATTTTAATAAAGTGTGAATATTGAGAAAGGGAAATGTTTAAAAAGTTCATACATTTACGTTCTATTTGAACTTTGTGATTAAGAATCATTTCTGTGCAGCAATGTTGGGTTGTGTAATTGTAATTGAAATCTACGTGCCATTCCATAATTGTGTATGTAATTAGGCATGTGTTTGTTTCAAAAGGTAACCTGTGTGCTTAGATAATCTTAATAATTATTATGACATGCCTTTTCTCTGTATCCTACGACATCCTTTGTCATACTAAGTCGATTTGGTTGGCTGTAAGAATATTTCTAGTATCATCCATGGTCAGTTCTAATGCAGTGATATGAACAGCCACATGTAAGTTGGTTATAAGAAATGTATTTTATTTTATAGGAAGACATATGCTGTGAATTAGGATAAAGTACTAGAAAAGACTACCTAAGAGGTTGATGCTATTTTGTATAAATTGTGTATTTTGTTGGCTTTTTGAGCATGGAAATCTAACTTCCATTAGGGAAGGGTAATTTAGGTGCTCAGTATTCAGCAGAAAACTTGTCGGGGCCATAAAAGCTTTTCTGGCTGGTTCCTCGGGTGTTTTCAGAGGAGAGCTGCCCACCCCTTGCTGATTTTCCCTTTGGCTTCAGTATGGGCTGAATTTACCACTGCATACCTGTTGAATCCATTTGGGGGATCCAGCAGTTAACTGAGTGAATGGAAGGATTAGTGGCCCTCTGGAGCCCTATTTCAACAGCCAGGTGTCTGTTCTAAACTAGTTAACTGCTTTTGACAGTTGAAGAACCTGGTTTTAATACCATAGGCAGGAGGTTTTCTTTCTTTCTCTCTCTCTCTTTTTTTCTCCCTTCTCACTACGATCAAAGTGGGGCATGCCTTCTCCTAAGGGTTAGGAGTTGGTTTTTTTTTTTTTTTTTTTTCATAGGAATGGATTGTCCCTTTCCCTCAAGCCAGCTTCCCTTCCACAGAGTTTGTCTTTGTGCTTAGTCAGCATTTGACTTGTTTCCCATCTATGCCAGACAATTCAGTGGCATTGTCTGGCAGAACCCTTTCAAGGGCTTCGGGGGGAGAGGCAGGATGCCCACGCAGATTCTCTTGAGAGAATCAAAGCCTGTGTAGACACACACACACATGCACACACTCACAGGGAAGCTGCTGTTTAGATCCTAGGTCTGGGCTCCAGTTCCTAGATTCCAAGTACTCCCTCTCCCAGATCAAAACCTCCTGAGTTCAGACTATATGAAACGTCATAATTATGTGGACTATATCCCATAGAGGAAAGATGGATTTGAAAGTCAGACTGGATCTCCTTAGATACTGAATTTAGACAGAGGGCAAATATGTTTTCTTGGGGGATGCTTTCCATATTAGGAAACACGTTGGTGTTTAACAGAGATCATTAAAATTGAAATGCCACTTTTAATTTTCTGATTTCCTCTTACGCAGAGGCTGCTGCCCAGGCTGTGGCTAAATGCTCACACTGTGTTCTCTGCCCTGGAAGTCTGTGTGTTGGAAGTCTGTGTTTTGCCTTTTTTTTTTTTTTGGTCCCTCTGACTTTTCAATTAATACATTTTTTAATAGATAAAACAGATCATACTGTGACTTTTAAAATGTCAACAAGCTTGTAAACAGAAATGTAATAAAATGGCTAATAGGAGATTCAATAGTTAATAGAGGGCCTGAAGTGTGAGCAAATACAGTAGCTGTATATTGGAAACCGTGCAAGTGAAGATGGCTTTAGTATTGCAAACTGAGGAAGAAAATTGTTTTTAATTAGCACCTTCATAAGAACTGCTGATTAATACTGTTTTGTTTGGTGAAAAGCTTTCAGCTGAGTAATTTGTACAGCCATTACAACAGTTTTGTTAGAGCGGGACTCCTGTTGTTAAACACAAACAGCAGATGATAATGGTGGAAGATGAGTTTGTCATGTAACAATTTACCTTATTGAAAAAAGCTTTATATAAAACCCAATACAGTAGGTACCAGCAGAAATCACATATTTTAAATCCTTCCAAAATTGCAGTGTGCCATGCTTGTGGTTTTTTTTTTCCCCCTAGAGACTAGAAGCAGATTTTATATCATTTATAAAATTATATACACAATTTAAAGGTGGTGTAGCATGGACAAACCACTTTCTCAGCAGCGGTTTACATCGGAGCGGTAAAGTGGCTGTATATTCAAACACTTTCTAACTACACAAAGCAGGTTGGAAAATGGAAGCCTAATTAAATAATGTTACTCAGATGTCAATTTGCATTGGTACTGGATGCAGGAAAACAAGAATTGGTGTTGCTGCAGTTAGGTGGGTTTATCACACACACGATCTTAAAAAAAAAAACAAACAAAAACTTTTTCTGCAGGGACATTTAATTACGCTCCCCACCCCACCCCACCCCAGGGTGTTTTAAGCGACCAGGGAAAACAGTGCACATTTAATACGACCTGACCAGAGAATAAGAGATTAGTTTCAGTGACACTCATCAAAGGATATTGGATATTGCGCTAGCCAGAAGCATGGGAACTTTTTTTTTTTTTAAATAAAATGCAATGGTAAAGCATATTTACATTAAAATACTACACTAACCAAGGCTGGTAAGAACTGTAAATTATTGGAGTGGCGTAATAGTGCATGAGGTTTTTTTTTTTTTTGGTTTTTTTTTTCCAGACAGGCCTTCGGGGTAATAACAAGGGTTGAGGCTCACGGCAGTGCCAAATAAGCTTT